ATATATATATATATATATATATATATATATATATATGATCGTCGTATCCCGACCCATTCAGGCAGAAATAAGCAAACGTTGAGTAAATTTCATGATGACTTGACACACATGTCTGCCCATAGTGCACAACATTTGTGGCTTTGATTGAGTATGATAATCAATCTATATTTCTTGTAATAATTTAACAATTTATTTGAAACAAAATATTTACTGCAAAACAAAAATTATTAGTACTAATTTTAACAATAATTTTCTTTGTAGAAAGTGTCTACTCAACCTACAGATTTCAAACCATAAAGTAGTATCGTAACGTGCAAACTATAACTTCAAAAGTTTGGATTGTGTATGGTCGTTAAATTTAACAAAATTTGAAACTTTTAAGTTAATATAATTATGTTCAAATTATTAAAATTATGAAACGAGAGTATTATTATTGTTATTGTTAATATTATTGTTATTGTTAATATTGTTATCGTTATTAGTGTTATCGTTATTAGTGTTATTGTTATTAGTGTTATTATTGTTATTATTACTATTACTATTCAAAATCTACACTGGGTTGCAACAAGCTTCCTAGAGACTGTCGATATCTCTACAATACGGCGCCCAAAATGTGGGCTGTTCCAAATAAAGCAATGTCTTGCTTTTACCAGTCTTTTGAGGGTATAGCCAAGTTCTTATACAAATGTTGTGGAACAAATTCCAGAGCTCAGATAACTATCAGGGCGACCTGTTTTTACGCCCCACATTCGGCTGCTCTCGATTTATAAACTCTTGTCTTTAAGACGATTTCTCTGCCTCCTTGATTAAGACGTTTTGATATTAGGGATCAGCAATATTTAAATGTAGGCACGTTCTTTTTCTCCAAATCCTTGATAATAATATCTGGTTTGTTTGTAGGTATCCTGCGATCAGTTTGAAATTGTTAGTCGTACACTATTGTACACAGGACAATAGACGTAATTATTATTATTATTATTATTATTATTATTATTATTATTATTATTATTATTATTATTATTATTATTATTATTTACTTTCATGGCAGGTTTTCTTCTTTCAGAAGTTGTGTTATCGTTCTGAAGTGCAGATTTAGGTACTGAGGAGCTTGTGAACAAAATCGTGTTGGGGTCCCCCTTGGGGAAAAATTCATCTATTTTTACTTCACGAAATATATTTATCAAGAATTTTTTTTTTATTTAATGTTTACCACAAACATTTTTGTACAGCAGAGTATAACCCCGATATATAAACCCGGCCGCGTGAACCGTTGTTGGCGCAGAGCCTGTCGGGGCTGGACGTGTGGCGCGACGAGGCGCCGGCCGGGGCGGCGATG